GTGGAAAGCAACTGAACTGGGTCTTGGAGTCCCTCCAAGACTTCGTGCTCTTCCTCCCCATAGGATGATAACTGTGCTTTGCGTGTCGCATTGACTAAAACCCCACGGGGCTGAGAAGCTACATCATGATGACACGGGAAGCCCATTGGCCTGGAGTAAGAGGGCCAGGCTTGGAGGCCCAGTCCTCCTGAGTACGCCTCGGACCCCAGGCAATGGATCTGCCTTTGCACTGGAGGCGCTCGGGATGACATTACGTGATACTCAGATGAAGAACTTGTAGTTTTAGGTAGTTACCATCTGTTTATGGCAAGTGTATGCATTTCATATAAGTTCCTACATGAATACGTTTATTTACACAAACAGATTTACATGCAACATTAAGTAGGAGATGAGCTCCTCCGTGGATGTGGTGAAAACCGAAGACAGTCTAGGGAAGGATGTCGAGGAAGAAAATGAACATCTCAGATTCCTTTTCTTTCTCCGTACAGTGGGGTCACCAGCTTACCAGAGTAACTGTAGGGGTCTGACAAGGCGAGAGCGAAGAGCATCACTTTAGGGCCGGAATCCTCTGAGGTAGGCAGCTAGGACTCCCGTGGAGGGTGCCCGGGGGCCATCGAGCTCTCACACACACGGAGGCACTTTGAACTGCAGTGGGAGAGACTGAAGCGTGATGTGAAGAAAATTTTAGGGGATGCCTGGGTGGCTCAGTTGGTTAAAGGGTCTGCCTTTGGCTTGGGTCATGATTCCGGGATCCTGGGATCGAGTCCCATGTCAGGCTCCTTGCTCAGCAGGGAGCCGCTTCTCCCTCTGCCTCTGCTGCTCCCCCTGCTTGTGCTCTCTCTCTGTCACTGACAAATGAATAAATGAAATTAAAAAAAAGAAAGAAAGAAAACTTTTAGGTTGAAACATTTCAAGGCCCAGGAGGTGCCGGGAGATAGGAGATGGCTGGTGGGGGCAGGGGGTGCTTGCAAGGAGGGTGGTGAGACCTTCATGGTCTTTCTCAGCAAGAAGTCCCACACCCGTCTCTGGGATGTACTGCTGGGGAAGTATGTCCGATGGTGGAGCAGGTCTGCCTAGCATGCGTGCGGGTCAGTGAGCATGACTAGGGGTGGACAGAGGGAGGTGGCTGTTAGATCCACTCCCACTCAGACTAATCAGAACAAACTAGACCCTCTTAGGGCTTTTCCAACTGGCCCCCGAGGGCAAGCTGGGTATGACTCGGTCCCTGTCCTGAGGAAGGACCTGAGGCTCTGGCACTGGGAGGCCAGAGAGGAACTCAGACCCCCACAGTCTGGGGACCGGGATTTAGTGGCGATCATTTCTAGTTCGGCATCTTCTCTGGTTTGGCCCCTCTCCTTTGCTCCCACCCCGCACTGCTCCCTCTTGGGTTCCTGAGGCAAGAGAAACCCTGGGATCTGCGAAGGTCCCACGCCCCAGACGAGGACAGCAGCTTGCCCTCTGGCTCTTTCTCCTGGGGTGACATCATTCCCCTCGGGACTGGGAAAGGCAGCTCGCTCTCAGTCAAGACCCAGCTGATGCCCCGGCCTCCCCACCTCCCACACTTCCTTCTCCTCCGGGCTTCCCTCTCACAGCTGTCTTCCGCCCGCAGTGTCAGCACCGTGGCTGGCCCACCCAGCCGGCCTGAGAATGGGCGAGAGGATGCGGGGCTCCCCTCTCCTTCCCCGGCTCTTCCTCTGTGGGGCACAGGGATGGGACCGAAGAGATAGGGCAGGCGTCGTGTTTTTCCTTGATCGCACCGGTAGGTGAATGGGGTCCTGTCATTACTATGTGCTACGGTCTACTGAGGAAGGAGCGTTCTGGAGGTTCTTAGGAAGTCTTACGGTAACCGCCAGAACTCGCCTCCAGGTCACGCACAAACACTCATGACCTCACCTCATCTGGCCAGAGCTGTACGAGTAAGAAACTCTTATTCCCATGTGGGAGAACAGAAACTGAGAAACAGTTTAAATAACCGTTCCCGCTCATACAGGTGCTACTATGTGGCCGAGCTGGGATTTGAACGCTGTGCCATCTGTCTCTAGAACAGAAAACCTCAACCAGTGCAGAATATCATTTTCCATAGGGGTGTAACTTCACCGCCTGTTTACTTAAATGGGGCCTCTGTTTTATGGGCAGCCCTGAATTCATACATACCCACATAACATTTCTCACTGGAAAACCGTACAAAATGTCAGCATTATTTCTTCAGGATTTTTCCATACTGGAAGAGATTGAATAGGGTCATTTCATTCCTCCCACTGCCTCTGACCTGGACTGTGTTCAGCCTTCTGGAAGGAAGCCTGCAAGCTCAGACTCCTTGCCCGTTGGTGAAATGCAGCCGCGAGCCGCATCCCTGCCTCTTTCTCCCTGTGGAGTGTGTCACTGCCTGAGGGCAGCAGGTCTGGAGAGATGACTTGCGGCATTCAGGGGTACTCAATATGTTTCCTGCGTGTGTGGCAGGGGCAAGGGGCTAGCTAGGTTCTGCAGAGACCTAACAATGTGTAGATCTCCGATCCTGCCCTCGGTGGTAGATGCTCAATGAATGTCTCACGAACAACTGAGCCTTTAAACGTGTGGGGGCGCTGGGGCGGGGAAGTGAGTAGCGCTCCAGGGAAGGGCATTTGAGGTGTGTCACGGAAGAGGTTCTGACCCCAGCCGGGGGCACGCATATGGGGACTGAGACACACTTCCGAGTGACATGATCACAGGAGCATGCTGGGAAGACTGATCTGGTGGCCGGAAGGCCTTCCAGGAGGCTTCTGCATTCCAGGAAACAGAAAAGCAGATGTGAGACATCTGGGGATAAGAGCAGGGGCCCTGGGTGGAAAAGCCAAAAGGGACTCTGAGGTCTAGGTTGGGGTGAGGAGGAAAGGGGCATGAGGGAAGGGGCAGAAAAAGGGAAGTCAGAGAGGCAGTGAGCAGTTAGAGACCTGGAGGCGTTTGGTTTGAGGCTTAGGGTCTCCTCCGACTCTGCCCTGGGTCTTCTCAGCTGCAGCCGGCCTGCCTCAGGAAGGAGAAGTGGTCAGGAGGCTGGAAGCCAAAGAGGTCAGAGAAGGGGCCATCAGCAAGCACAGCCACCTCCCAGGCTGCATCTCTTGCTGCTGTAGCTGCCACTCAAATGGAGCCTGCTCGCCCGGGCAATCTGGCAAATCCCAGGGTTACCAGGGCCCCCCCCCCAACCCCCGACCACCATGCTCAGCAAAGGCCTCCTTGCCTGCAAGGACAGTTGTTCCTCCGGTCGTTAGTGCGGCCGGCTCAGGGGAGCCCGCTGTGGTGCCCCCGCCCCCGCCAGGGTTGGGGTGGGCAGGGGAGGGTTTGACCCAAAGCTTAAGACGGTCAGCTGCCCGTGCTCCCCTGAGCACCTCTGTGCCTCCCTTCCCAGTCCCTCCAGCTCTCCACCCTGTGGGCTTAGTTCTGTGCATTAGGACAAGGCTGAGAGGTAAGATGACCCCAGCGGGTCTCTGGGGGGCTTAAGAAACAGATGGTCCCCTCACGCGAGGTTTGCTGTTAGTAACATGAGCAGATCTGGGGAGGGAGCTGGCGGGACCAAGGCAGCTTGGACTGTGAATGTTATCAGACCACGCATCCCCTGCCCAGCCTCCAAACTCGGCCCTCGCCCAAGTCAGCCTCTCAGCCCCTTCCAGCTGGCACCTGGGACCCGGGCCTTAGACGCCCACAAAGGGACTGGGGAGCTGGCCTCCAGTGTCCCCACTCTTGGCCCGAGCCGTGGAGCCAATTGGGCTGAGAAGGCAGGAAGAGCAGGGGAGCCAAGTCGAAGAGCAGCTGAGGGAGGACAGGTGTTTGGAAGGCAGAGAAGGGGTGGGAAGAGCTTCTGCAAACAGGAGCTTCCTGGCCTCCATCTCTCTTTCCGGGCTGGCCAGATGTGCACAGCAGTGAAAGGAAACCCCCGGCCTACCCCTTTTCTTCGGGAATCTGAGCTCCTTGTCTTGCCCTCATGTTCCTTTCCAGCCTTCTCCACGGCCCCGGGGAGGACAACGCAGCCCTCAAAGCCCAGCCACTGCCCCGCCATCCTGAAGCAGGCAGGGCTTGGTAGTTAGGGCCATAGTGTTGGGAGTGAGTGTCCCGTGTTTGAGTCCCAGCCATATGAGCTGCGTGCGTGACCGTAGGCAGGCTACTTCAGCCCCACCAGGGTTAACTCGTTAAAATGAGAACAATACTAGCAACCTTATAGGGTTTGTACAAAGATCCTAAGAGGTGAGGGGCATAGAGCGCTTAGCTCAATCCCTATTAAATAGTAAAAACCTGCAAACTGTCGTGGCCGTCATCATCGTCGTCATCCTCATCTCGGGGAGGCTCGGCAAGAGGAGGGCACAGCACCTAAAGGGTCAAGGGTGGCCACCACAGCTGCGTGCACCCTCGAACCGGTCTCAGCTCCACCTCCTCTGTTGACCTTGAGCAACTTACTCACGTGCCTCTTCCCCCTCGTCTGTAAAATGGCAACAAGACTAGTCACTACCTCATAGACTAGTTGGTGAGATTAAAGATAGATCAACTCAGGGCGCCTGGGTGGCTCAGTCGTTAAGCGTCTGCCTTCGGCTCAGGTCAGGACCCCGGAGTCCTGGGATCGAGCCCCGCATCGGGCTCCCTGCTCGGCGGGGAGTCTGCTTCTCTCTCTCCCTCTCCTGCTGTGCTCTCCCTCTCTTTCAAATAAATACATAAATAAATAATCTTTTTTTAAAAAAAGATTAATTGATAGAAGTGTATGCATAGTCACATATATGTGGCTGAGGACAGCGCCTGCCTTAGCATGTTAGCGGCCATTCATATGTTATGCAGCCATACCAGCGTTGAGATTCCTCCTCTCCCAGCTCTGAGCTGCACTGTACTGGGCCCCACGGAGGTGGGGTCAGTGGCCGGCTGGAATGACCCTGGAGATGTGTATGTGGGCAGTGGGGAGTCTAGGTTCAGGGCCAATGAGGGGCAGCGCTTCCCCCAGCCCCTCACGGCTCACTGGCCTGCGCTCTCCCTCTCGCCCGCAGATGTCCATGAAGGAAGTGGGTGATGGCTTGCAGGACCAGATGAACTGCATGATGGGCGCGCTGCAAGAACTGAAGCTCCTCCAGGTGCAGACAGCTTTGGAACAGCTGGAGATCTCCGGAGGGAGTCCTGCCCCTGGCTGCCCGGAAAGCCCCCGGACGCAGCCCGAGCCCCCTCCATGGGAGGGTGGCAGAGGTCCTGCCACGCCTGCAGCCTGCCCCACCTCCAACCAACCTTCTCTTGGCGCCAAGTTTCCGTCCCATAGCAGTGCCTGTGGGCGGGACCTGGCCCCCCTGCCCAGGGCACAGCTACCGGAGCACCGAAGCGGTGCCCAGCAGGGGCCCGAGCTGGTGGAACCGGAAGACTGGACCTCCACCTTGATGTCCCGGGGCCGGAACCGACAACCTCTGGTGCTAGGCGACAACGTTTTTGCAGACCTGGTGGGCAACTGGCTGGACTTGCCAGAAGTGGAGAAGGGTGGGGAGAAGGGGGAGGCGGGGGAGCCCAAAAGGGAGAGGGGCCAGCCCCGGGAGCTGGGCCGCAGGTTTGCCCTCACAGCGAACATCTTTAGGAAGTTTTTGCGCAGCGTGCGGCCTGACCGAGACCGGCTGCTGAAGGAGAAGCCAGGCTGGGTGACGCCCACGGTCTCCGAGCCCAGAGCCGCCCGCTCACACAAGGTCAAGAAGCGGAGCCATTCCAAGGGCTCTGGGCATTTCCCCTTCCCGGGCACTGCAGAGCCCAGAAGGGGAGAACGTCCTTCCACCAGCTGCCCCAAGGCCCTGGAACCCTCACCTTCTGGCTTTGATATTAACACCGCTGTTTGGGTCTGAGTCCTAGAGACAGAACATTGACTGAACCCAACATGACCGGGTCCCAGTGCTGGGCCCTGGGAAGGATGGGGTGTGGGCACTGTGGCTTTCAAAAGCCTAACTCCGAGTTCCTTTCCTCCAGAAAGGAGGGAGAAGCAGCAAGAGTGTCTGGAGCAGGGCTGACCAGTGTGTGGTTGAGAGAGGCTGTGGTGGGGGCTGGCTGGTGGAGAGGTGAGAGCTCCTGGGTTGAAAGAGAGACATTGAGAGAGAGAGTGGCGCTCACTTTGGGACTGCAGGTGACAGTGAGGGGCCGGGGGAGGAGACCAGGCAATCCTGACATTCCTTCAGGGCCCCCAAAGACCTCAGTTGAACATTCTGTATGGATTAGGGCCCTGGGGTCTCAGGTTCCCCCAGAGAGGCCCCCGATCTGGCCCCAACCTTATAAACCATTGGCTTCCCTGGCAAAGCCCTGCTCCAGGCACAGGCATGGAAACCCCAGCCCTCCTGGGATTGGGATCAGCAGATTCCCACCCCCACTCCCTGTTGCCTTTAAGATTTCAGCCCATACCCGTGTCCTGAGACATGGGCCGAATAAGGAGTGTACCTAGAGGAGTACTTGAGATAGCCCTATGTCTTTTCAAAAGCACAGGAAAGATATTTATCTGTATAGCACTTTAAACGTTGGAAAGCCTTTTCATATCTTCTGAGTAAGCAAGTAGGGCAGTTACCATCCCCATTTCCCAGGTGAGGAAGCCGGCCTAGATACGCCCCCTGCGGGCAGGAGGCACACCAGTGCAGGGCTGGCCCGAAGGGCCGCGGCTGGGCCCTGGAGTCATACGCGCTCCTTCCCCCGCACCCCGCCTCCAGCAGAACCCGCACCCGGGACACAAGCACACGGGCGTCCGTCGGCGCGGCCAAAGTGCGCCCATTCGAAGGACGCACTCATTTTTAGATTCCCAGCCTCACCCCGTGGCCTCCCTCCCCGCTGGGAGCGGAGGCCCGTCTGGCCGGACCAGACCGGCGGCGGGGAAGGGGAAGGGCCGGGCAGGCAGCTCCGCTCCCATCGCGCGGCGCCTAGAGCTTTCCTGGAGCGGCGCACGTGGCCCTCCCGCCCCGCAGGGAACGCCCGCTGGCTGGGAAGAGACAATGCGGGTCCCTCTTTGGGCCCGGCCCCGCCCTGCAGGCCCTCCCCCTCTCCTCCCCTCGCCCCTCCCGGCTGAGCTCCCCTCCCGCCTGATGGGGGGTGACAGCGCAATTAGACGCAAGCAGCCTTCCCGCCCTCGGAGCATTAACAGCAAATTGGAGGAGAAGAATAACAAGCGAGGCGCTTCCTGCATCCTGGACCCCTGGAGACCAAGCTGGAGGAGGGAGGAGGCTTCGCGCGGCAGCTCCACAGCTTGAGGTGGGGCCAGTTAGGGTCACTGTCAGACCCCCACTCAGTCACAGGGGAGATGTTTAGTTCTTGGTGGCGGAAGCTACCGGACGGAAGGTGCTACTTTTATGTATTTTCTCCAGTGCTCGCTATTTGCCCGGCAGTGTGCAGAACCATGCCTTCCAAACTTCAGAATGGCCCTAGAAAGTACCATCTTCCTGGTAAATCAGTGGGGGCTCTTTAGGGGTCAGAGAGGCTGCCCAGATCAGGCTTCGAGCTAATGGAGGAATCAGGATTTGGAACAGGATTGTCTGGCTGCAAAACGGCCTTTTCTCCTCTCCCTGGAGTTTGCCAGTAGAGCCAGCCCTTTTCTGGAGGAGCAAGCCCCCGCTCATCCTTTCTGTCTCCCCAGGGAACTGGGGTAGTTCAGGGCAGGGTGGAGGCCCTTTGGCTGTGTCCGCCTTGCTGGGGGCGGGGCGGTGAGTGTGTGTGTGTGTGTGTGTGCGTGTGCGCGCGCGCGCGTGTGTGTGGGTGTGTGTGGGTGTGTGTGAGAGAAGGGTCCTCACACTGGGCCGTGGTGAAGTCACCAAGCTCTCAATCCGGAATGATTCCACCAAGTCCCCTCTTGGCCATTCATCTGTGACTCATGTGTTCCGTGGACCGGCCATCGCAATCCGGACCAACTGAACCGAACTTTATTGCGCACCTCCCAGTGCCAGGCACTGCGACAGGAACTCAGAACAGCAAGGAAAAGGACCTGGCTCCTGGCTCAAGGGGTTCAGTGAGAAGCAGCAACTCCTAACCCATCGGTTGGCCAGAAGGGATCCAAGGGAAGGAAAACTCATCTTAACTCGGGCCAGAACAAAACAGTCAGAGCTGGGAGTGAACTGGTCGCGATAGACTCCCAGCCTTGTGCTTTGCACTCTACCCCACAAAGTGTCCATTTCTGCTCCAAAAGCCAAGTCAAGAGGAACAACAACAAAACCTGTCCTCCCCATATTATCCATGCATGGATAGTAAATGGAATGCTCACTGTCCGGTGGGGGAATTTTGCCCTGGTCTTGACTGGGCTGGTGTAATGCCCTCATCACTAGGTCATGCTTTGCTAATGAAAGACTATGGCCAGTTCATTTACACACACACCCACCACCACCACCACCACCACTAGTTTTTCCTTTTCCTTCTTTTTCTGGGCTTTTTTTGTGACAGGACGGAGACTGTATTTCACTGAAGCTGAGGGGAGAGGTGAATGGGAATGCCTGGGGCCTAAGAGATGCAGGAAAAGTGTAGGGGTGGGAAGCAGCGGGATGAGGGGGAGGTAGTGGAAGTTAGCAGAGGGAAATTGACAGCTTAATTCTGCCCCTGGGGCTCATTTTATGGTTAATTAGGACATGCAAATAAGCTGGAAGCTCATTTAATACTCTCCCTGGCATGGAGCCCTGCCTCACACCTGGCCCACTTCCCTGGCAGGTACAGGGGCCCCCTGATTGGCCCAGGCATCTGCCCAGACCCCCACCTGCTTCTCTGTGGCTCTGTGGCCAGAGTGTGTCTCTAGAGGTTCCCCCACCATAAGCAGGAGCTAGAAGAGTCCTTGCTGGGCCTGCCTGGTTTCCCTCCTTTCTTTCTCTTTCCAACCCTTCAGGCCGGGGGCCCCTCTTTCACAGAGGGCCCCCCCAAGCACCTCCCCTGCACCCACTCCTCAGGTTGAGATCTGAACCCAAACTTGCCCAGAGGAATAGAGACCTGGTTTGACTGTCCCCATGACATCCCCCTTGCTCCCCCTCGGGGAGGGGGCACCCCATCTTTCCCAAGTCACACCATTTCCTACAGGGCCTTCATAAAAGCAAAAGCACAGCTTGTGACTTTGGGTAGCGGGGGCCTGTCTCCAGCTTTCAACGCACCTTGGGTCACCACCCCATCTTCTCCAACCAGAGCAGTTAAGGCACTTCTGCCAGTACAATGAAATGCGCACGGGATTAGGAGTCCAACAGGGTATGAGACCCATTTCTGGCCCTGTCAGCCTGAGTATGTCGCTTGACCTCTCTGAGCCTCATTTTCTTGTCTGACGTGGGGATAATGCAGGGCTGCTGGAGCTTTAAAGGACATAATGCACACCATGTAGAACACGGCAGAAGCTCTCTACTGGGCCACCTGACCTTCGGTTCAGGCACTAACCATGTGAACCAGAGCTAAACTGCTAGAAAATAACAAAAACTTTCACTGGGGCTTGGTTTCCTCTTCTGTTAAAAAAAATGTATACTGGCCCTATTACCTCACCAGACTGTAGCAAGGATCAGAGAAGACAACAGGTTTCTCTATTGTCTTCTATTGTCTTCTCTGCAATGTTTTTGTACATGGTAAAAATATAACCCAGGTGGGCTATTACTTGCCAAATGGCAAACAATTTACACTTTCTCATAGAGGATGATGTGTGTTGGGGGTGGAGGGTGGGTGTGGAGAGAGCAGCAGGGGGGCTGAGCGCAGAAATGGTGCTTGAGGACCCCAGTGCCTGAGGATGTGCTCCAGGGAACACTGCCACCCCTCTGTCCCTCACAGTCCCTCTGTCTCCAGCTGTCCCTCACAGTCAACCCCCGGGCCCTCACATTCCTGGCAAGGACTGGAGAGTTGAATGAGCCAAGTTCTGAAGGCTTTGAGAAGAGTCCAGCCCCTGATCTGCTCTCCGCTCTTTAAGGCTTTGGTCCCTAGAGTCCCTGCCAAGCTCCACACCGCACCCCCTACCATCCCCCCCCCCCCGTCACCCTGGGGACTAATGGCCTAAAGGTGCTAGTGGCTGTCCTGCTAGGATCCACTCCCCCCGATGGGGCTGGAGGTGCCCTGAAACCCTCTCTCACAGGAGGTCTCGGGGCTCAGATGGAGGAAGAGCCTCGTAGATCCACAGCACAGGGCAAGATAAGCACCTCAGACTGTAGTTACCCCCTTGGTACTATTTTTCTTTTTTTACTTTTATTTATTTTCAAACTATGCTTTACACCCAACGTGGGGGTTTGAACTCAGGACCCTGAGATCCAGAGTCGCAAGCTATACTGAGTGAGCCAGTCAGGCGTCCCAGACAGCAGTCACCCCCCTGGGTACTATTATTAGGATGTTCCTGCCTCCCTCTCACTTCCTCTTCCCAATCCTTAGAACAAAGACAATGAAGAGAACTCTCCCAGATTCACTCTGAATTTGACAAAGGACTTAGAACCTGCTTCTCTGCCCCTGCTCTTCAATCAGCCCGGACACGCCCTCTGCCCACCGCCTCCAAGCTTCAGGTGTACCCCCCCAAATTTTATGCTACATCCGCACACAGGGGTCACGGTGAAGTCAGCCTTGCCTGAAACTTCCCAGGGTCCACATTCTATCCCCTCCTGAGCCCTCCTCTTTCTTCTTCCCCTTCTAGGGTCCCCCCCCCCCAGGTCTCTCCAAAGTCATCTTTGTGTTTCTGGTCAGAGAGAGGCCCCTGAGGAACACTGAGGCAGGGAGCCCTCCTGGGGGTGCCTACCCCTCAACACAGTGCTTGGGGCAATCATAATCTGACAAGGGACTGCCATACTTGTTTCTGCAGCCTCTTGGCGGGTCCCGGGTGCAGGAGGGAGCAGGATCTCCAGCTCCATATACTAAGGCCTCAGGCCGCAGCTGCTGCACTCCCTGGCTTCCACTCCACAGAATCCATTCTCTCTGGATCTGCCCCTCTGGGCATGGCGCCCAAGAAGCCCGCCCCATTCCAGGGATCTAGGAATCCCTGCCAAAAATCACCTCTCGCATGCTCGGCACCTCCACCCTCTCCTGCCCATGACCCAGACTCTGGGCTGTCCTCCCTGCCCCTCTTCCTGCCCTCTCCAGTCCCAGAAAGAAGCCCCCTAGCAGCCTCCAACTGGTCAGGGAGGGGGGCTTCAGACACAGCAGATGCCACCAGCTGAGGCTACCTGGTGGCTCTCAGGGGCACTGCTTGTGGGGGGGGGGGTGTCTCCCGCCAAGGGAAGAGTCCGGTTTTGTTTTCTGGTTTCTGGCTCTGCTGTCACCCCGTCTGGCTGCTTTCCCTTTCCTCCTGTGCCTCTCCCTTAGCCCTCTTCCTCTTCTCCTCCTGACTGGAGGCTGCATCTGCAAGGAAATGCTGCCCGCCAGCACAGGGAGAGGGGAAGGAAATGTCTTCAAGGTACTGTGACTTCATCCTCACCTGGCCTCACTGTTCTAGAGGTCTGGAGGCCCAGCCCTGCCCACTCAGACCCCGGGGGACTTGCTTCTTTATCCTCCAGGCAGCTGTGTTACTGAGCGCTCCAAGCGTGGGCTCTTTGCCTCTAGGTCTTTCCATGGGCTGTTCTCGCAGAGTCCAGGTTCCTCAAGGCCCCAGACTGGCTTTTTACTCAGCTTTCACTGCAGTTTAAAGGGCACCTCCTCTGAGAAGCCCTCCCCAGGGGCCTCACCTGTGCCCGTATACCCAACCACAGGACCTACTTTGAAATTGCTCCCGTGCATGTTCATCTAGATCGTGAGCCCTTCCGGGGTGGCAAGTACTCATTATGCATTTCTGTATCTTGGTGTGACTGTGACCTCTCGTCGTCGTCACAGTGAGCCCTCCGCCGAGCCCGGCTCCTGCGTCAGGAAGGCCAGCGGTCAAGGCCTCCTCAGCTGCTCCCAAGGCCCACTTTCAGGACAGCTGACAAGCTCCTTCCTGGCCCCGTCTCCAAGCTGTGGTGCGGTCCCCTCTGTGCCACCTGGTACTTTGGCTTACTCCACCCTCGCTTCCCAGGCCAGTTCTGTTCTCCTGCAGGCTGCCTGGGGGCCCCAGTGTCCTTGGGCCGCCCAGAGCTCGGGCCCTTTGTATGGCCACCACAGCCGCTTCTCTCCCAGGCCGGATCCGTCCCAAATGGGTCCCCATTTCCAGCCCAGAGGACATTGCTTTTACCCCAGCCTCCAAACTGTCCCCCTTTCTGCCTGCGCCCTCTACACCAGTCTTGCTGACCTGGCTCATCTCCTTGTCCATTCTGGCAACGACCTCTGGCCCCGGACTTACTCTCCCTGAGGAGTTTTTCCTAACCTGTCTTGCCAGGGATCCCCACCCCTCCTGGGGACATTGAGTCTGCTAGATTCTCCTTCCCCTATTGTGATTATGGAGGGTCAGGCAGGGCGGGGCAACGGGGAAGGAAGTTGAGAGTTGGGTGTTTGGGCTTCCCTACCTCCAGCCCCGCTACTGGCCACACTCCAGGCATTGTCTCGGGGGGGGGGGGGGGGAGGGCTGAGTAGCCCACAGGCCGCATTTGTATAAAGTGGTGGGAAGGGGGAGGATGTCAGGCATGTTTTTTTTTTTAAAGCAAAAAAACCCAACAGAGATTCTTCCCAATGGGCCAAGTGCAGCACCTGAAATCCCTACATGGACTCAGGCTGGGAACGTGGGTCCAGAAGGGCCGGCAGGCCTGCGAGCACTCGCTCGAAGCCTGCCACGCGCACCGCCACAGCGCAGGGGCGGCCGGGGGAGCCTGC